TCCTATGATGCGAATATTATTACGTTTCCAGTTGTCCCACAGTTCTCTTAAGCTGTCTTCCTGTTTTTTAATAGTTTTTTCCTTTTGTTTTTCTGATTGGTTGATTTTTTTCTACCCTGCCTTCTAATTCACTGATTCGGTCCTCAGCTTCCTTTACTCTGCTTTTTAAACCTTCCAATGTGTTTTTCATTTCTGATATGTCATTTTTTATCTCTTCTTGATGGTTTTTAATTTCCAGTTGGCTTATTTTCAGTGTCTCTATGTCCTTACTCATGCTGTTCAGCTTCCTCAAGATCATGGCTCTGAATTCTAGCTCTGTTAACATGCCTAATTGCTCCACATTGATCTCATCTTCGGTGGAGGTGTCTTGCTCTTTCATTTGGCTTCTGTTTCTGTGTTTCACCATTTTGGCTATCACTGTGGGCTTTGGAGCCTGTCAAGTTTTCCCTGTGGGTGTTGGTGTTCTGCTGTTTGTGGCTCCCTCTCCTGTGTTTAGATGAGCGAGGGAGGACCCACGTTAAACACCACTGTCAAGTCTTACTTTCCTGGTTAAAGTTGCCAGCCCAGGAAAGGTACTGTTATCCTCTAGCTTTTTGCCTGAGGCTAGCAGTCCAGGTTACTTGATGAGTTTTGGGTTGTCAGTTGATTGAAAAACTCCCTCAGGTGCTCAGCAAAAGGGTATTTCCTGAGGGTGGGGCAGATGCTGGTTGTTATTGAGCCTCAATTAGCGCTTCAATGGCCCACAGGGTGGGGTTGGATCTCCGAGGGAGGGGCTGCTGCCTCTCCTCAGAGCCCTGGGAAGGAGCAATGTGGCCACCGTCCTGAGTGGCTGCACTCAGCCAAAGCTCTGAGCGCCCTCCAAAACCCGAGTGTCCCCACACAGTTCCAGTCCAGTCTGCCCTCCCTCTGCCGGAGCCCAAGGTGAGTGGCTGTGGCTGTTTCAGCCTCTGTCCCGGCTGCGCTGTGGAGCCGCCTGGGAGTGTAACCCGAGGGCGCTGCTCACAGCTGAGGCCGCTGCCGAGCTGCCGACCGTGGGCTCCCAGCCCCGTCTCGCGCCTTCGCAAGCCTACCGGGATGCAGTCAGTGTCCCTCGTTGTATGGTCCTCCAAGCTGCTTCTCTGTTGCTTTTTCCCGTCGATTTGTCTGTGTTATAGTTGTAATTCCAGTTTGGTTCTGGGAGACAGTCTGTGTAGCTTCTGTTCACTCCACCGCCATTTTTTCCGATCTTCCTATATATATATTTTTTGTGATAAATTCTCAGAAGTGAAATTTCTAATTTAAAAGTATAAGGGTATGCCACTCTTCTCTAGATTGTATTTGTATTAGGTCTCATTTGACTAGTAGTCATATTGTCGTGTTAATAGTACCGCTGACTGTGATTCAGGTTTTAGTATGTTAGCTACAGTGGTGTGGTGCCAAAAAGCAGCTTTTTTTTTTTTTTTTTATCATGAAAGAGTATTGGAATTTTCAAATCTTTTGTGTGTGTGTGTGTGTGTGTGTGTGCGCACGCGCGCGCACGTATATCTGTCGAGATGATCATGTAGTATTTGTTGTATATTCTGTTATAATGTATTACATGAATTGATATTCAGATGTTAAACCAATCTTGCAATCCTAGGATAAATCTCACTTGGCTATGATGTGTAATTCTCTTTACATATTTCTGGATTCAGTTTGCAACTATTTTGTTGAGGATTTTTGTGTCTATATTCATGAGGGATAACCATGCTTTTACTTTTAAAATTTTGTGTGTCTTAGCCCTGGCCGGTTTGGCTCAGCGGTTAGAGCGTCGGCCTGCGGACCAGAGAGTCCTGGGTCCAGTTCTTGCCAAGGCCACGTATCTCGATTGCAGTTTGTCCCTGGCCCAGTTGGGATCATGTGGGTGGTGACCAGTCGATGTTTCTCTCTGTCGTCCTCCCTCTCTCCCTCCTGCTCTGTCTGAAGATGAATGCAAAAATATCCTTGGGTGAGGATAAAAAAATAAAAAAATTTTGTGTCTTATAATTTAAAGTACATTTCTTGTAGCCAGCATATACTTGGGTCATGCTTTTTTGTCCAGTCTAACAACCTCTGCCTTTTAATTGCATATTTAAAGCATTTACACTTGATGTGGTTAGGTTTAAATGTATCATTTTGCTATTTCCTCTTCACCCACCTGTTTTTTTTGTTCCATCTATCATATAACCTTGCTCTTTGTTTACTGTTCATCTCAACTGTCTCTCCATTTTTTTTTCTGCTTTCTCTTTTATATTAAGAATTTTTTTCTGTAATTCCATTTGATCAGCTTTTTGGCCTACTAGCCAAACCCCTGTTTTCCTATTATAGTGGTTACTTTAGGGTTTACAGTACAATCTCTAACCTTGCAGACTGTTGCTGACACACTGCTGTGCACTGGTGCTGACTGAGGCCACCCACCAGGCAGGAGCTGCTGTGGAGGGGTGCCAGCCTCTGGGGTTCCTTAGGGAAATAAATGCCAGGGTGGGACGACCAACGTTAGCAAGGTTAATGGAGAGCATCAGAAATGGTGACTGCATCAGACCAGCTAAAGGGGAGGGGGGTACCCTCCAACACTTCTGACTCTGGAGAAAGATCCCTGCCCCTCCAGCACATGCCCTAAAATTAATCAATATATCATCTTCATGTATGACCCAGGTGCTTTTCAGACTGCTGCCTCTGCACTGGCTTAGAGAGAGCAAGTCTGGGTTTCCAACAGCCCTTTGGCTTTCCCAGACATACCCTGATGATTTTCATGGCCAGATGTTAAGGAGGCTCCTGTTCCTGGTGCAGGTCCCCCAGGCTGGGGCTTGGACCCCTTGCTCTTGGTGGAGGACTCCGTGGTTGTGATATCCCTCCCACTTGTGGGTCACCCCCCGGGGAATGGGAATTAGGTGGGTCCTGAGTATACTGAGTCTCTGCTCCTCTTATCCATCTCACTGTGGCTTTTTAAAAATATCTGTTGTTGTAGAAAATCTGTTCTGCTAGTCTTCAGGTTGTTCTCAGAGCTAGCTGTTCTGTATGTAGTAGTAATTTTGGTGTCAATGAGAGGAAGTGAGCTCAGGATCTTCTATTCCGCCATCTCGAACCCGAAAGCAGGAGTCTCGCTCTTGAATGCAGTTTAGCTTGTTTTTGAAATGTTTCTTGTAATTGGTGCACCGTCCCTGCAACTAACGTGACTCTTGGACATGAAATTCTTATATAGTTTTATATTTCTGGCCAATTTAAAACAGACTCCCTTTATTTTCAGTATAGTTTATGTGTGACTTAGGTGATGTTGCAGTGTTTAAGATACGTTTTTCTATTAGTGTAATTTTTTTTTTTTATATCCTCACCTGAGGATATTTTTCCATTTATGTTCAGATAGAATGGGAGGGGAGAGAGAGAGACACACACACACACATTGACTAACTGACCCCTCTCCCCAAACAACCCCGACCAGAGCCAGGGACTGAACTGCAACAGAGGCATGTACCCTTGACTGGAATTGAACCTGAGACTTTTTGGCCTGAGGGCCAACACTCCAACCACTGAGCCATACTGGCCAGGGCCTGTTAGTATAATTCTAAGCATTAAACTAAGTCATAAAGTAAGAAGTTATTTGTTTATTGGCCCCCATTAGGGTCTTTGGGTTACCAAAAGAATTGATTTGGAGCAAGCGGAAATTTTTCTCACACTTTTATGAGTGCCATTTTGTTTTAAATCTTGCTGGGATGTCAATTTAGATATACCAAGGTAAAGAGAAAATTGAGAGTGGAAATTTTCTTTTTTCTATATTTAACATTGAGATTGTTCATTTAGTAATTTTAAGCATACCATTTTATTTATAAGGAGCTCAGGTTATAAAAATTACATCTAGGGACAAAAATCTACCTTCCTCTAAACATTTCAACATCGTAGAAGGACAGATAATTTGATTTATTTGGTGATACCTAATGGCATTAAGCATGATTGGGGGGGGGGGCTTATTTATTTATTTATTTTTTATTGATTAATTTATTTTTGTTACAGATGTTTCTCCTTTTCCCCCACTGATTTCCCCTCTCCTCTCCCCTCCCCTCCCTGTCCCCAGCTTTGTTGTCCATGTCCATTGTTCATGCATACATGCATAGAAGTTCTGTGGTTTATCTCTCCCCCACCACCCCCTCTTCTGAGGATTGTCAGTCTGTACCCCACTTCCACGTCTCTGGGGCTACCCCGTTCTTCAGTCTGTTATGTTCATTATATTCCCCGAGTAAGTGAGATCATATGATACTTGTCTTTCTCGGTTTGGCTTGTTTTGCTTAGGATAATACTTTCCAGGTCCCTCCATGTCATTTCAAAGGATAAGAGATCTTTCTTTCTTAAACCTGCATAGTACTCCATTGTGTATATGTACCACTGCTTTTTCATCTGTTCGTCTACTGATGGACATTCGGGCTGTTTCCAGATCTTAGCTATTGTAAATAGTGCTGCTATGAACATGGGGGTACATATATTCTTTCTGATTGGTGTTTCAGGCTTCTTAGGATATCTCTCTGATGATTAGTAATGTTGAGCATTTCTTCATATGTCTCTTAGCTATTTGTATGTCCTTTTTGGAGAGGTGTCTATTTAGTTCCTCTGCCCATTTTTTAATTGGGTTCTTTGTCTTTCTTTTGTTGAGCTGTATGAGCACTCTATATATTTTGGAAATTAACCCCTTACCTGATATATCATTGGCAATTATGTTCTCCCATAAAGTGGGTTGCCTTTCCATTTTGGTGGTTGTTTCTTTTGCTGTGCAGATGCTTTTGAGTTTGATGTAGTCCCATGTGTTCATTTCCTCCTTTGTTTCTGTTGCCTTAGGTGATGTATCAGTGAAAATTCTGCTGCGTATGATGTCTGAAATTTTGTTCCCTGCATTTTCTTCTAGGATTTTTATGGATTCATGAGTCACATTTAAGTCGTTTATCCATTTTGAGTTTATTCTTGTATATGGTGTAAGAAGCATGATTATTTTAACTTGTTTTCTATTCTATCAACAGGTTAATATTAAAATCGGAAGTTTGTATCTTTTGCTCAATATTAGAAACTGAATGTAATGGCAACAGAATTTATAAAGAGTTGCTGTAGAGGATGTTTCTATGGTGAAACAGAAAAGCACAACTGTGAGTTTCATTTTACAATTTCAAAAAACATTTATTTAATGTCCTTTTTATTTGTGGCATTTTGTAATATAAAAGTAAATGAGACAGATTCCCTAACTTTATGGGGAAGGCAGAAACATAAATATAAGACACACTAGGAAAGTAGTAAAATACTCTGGAGCATCAGGGAGAGAGATTAATTCAACCCAGGAAGCACCCTGGGACAATCCCACAAAGAAGGTGGCACTTGGTATGAAGTATGAAGAGGGTTGTAGCAAGCTGAGTGGGAAGAAGGAAGTCAGGCAAGATGAGGATTGGACATAGTGTTACAGGTCGGTGAAATAGTATAGGCAAAGGTAGTGAGAGAAATGTTTGGGGAACAACATACTCTGGCAAATGTTTTAATGTCCAATTTATGAACAGTGCATTAAAAAATGTGTTTTGTGAATTAATGACCAATAGGGAAGAAGAACCAGTGGGGAGAAGAGACCCTTAAATTTATCCAGACCCTTATTTATCAAGGAGTCCTGGAGATTTCCCTTTCTACTTCATAGTTTCCCCATCTGTTCAGGGTTATGTGTGGAACTTTATTTTTATTGGCTCTTTCTTGTATTTCTTAGTCTAGAGTGTAGTTTCCTAATATATTTGAGTATAAAGGCTCCTTTTTTGCATTAAAACATTTTATAAATTAATAGCAGTGGTAGTTGTACTTTTATTCATTCTACAGACAATACTAATTTTACATAGATTAGCTCAGGGTGTCTTTTACTTCCTCATCCTAACAGACTCATTGTAGGAATCACGTGTTGTTCTGTCAAACGGACCAAATAGGTCAGAGATGCTAGCACAGGGAGAGTTGCTATTGTGTTAGGGTCAGTGTATATTTTATTTTGTGATTTGGTGAAGACCTTTGTAGACTTGGAGAGCTAAATTTAGCTTCTTTATAGAATTGCTTTATGTATTTAAGACTGATGTTAACCATTAGTATTGACAACAAGAATTGCTTTGTTGAGATTATTTTTAAATAACTAGATTTTACTTCAAAGTATTGTACAATTAACTTCAAAATAAACTTGTTTTTTCATCTATGAACTCTTCTGGGAATTAGTCTCTTTAAAACCTACTTTTCTCATTATGATAAGTTAATATACTTTGGCAGTAGTATATTAATTGCTCAAATATTGGCTGGACAGAATTAATGTAGAGTCCAGAAGTGCTTGATAAGACCTAAGAGTAATTTATGGATCAGCAGTTTCTTTTAACAAAGCATGTTAGGTTTAGATTATTATTTATAAATCTACATGCATATTTGTGATTTTTTTCTTTTTTCTTTTCTTTTCCCTTCTTTTACATGCAGTTTCCGTGGAAAGAGACTTTAAAACAGCAGTCTCAAATAGTCGAAATACTACTATCTGTACACCTCCACTGACTTCTGTTCCTGTAAAGCCTCAGGTTGGCTGCACTGAGGATTATTTACTTTCCAAATTACCATCAGATGGCAAGCAAGTACCATTTGTGGTGCCCAAGTTTAAGTTATCTTATATTCAGCCCAGGACACAAGGAACTCCTTCACATCTGGAGGAACTGGAAGGTAAACAAGAAACGCCAGGGTTTAAAAATCAACGTGCAGCTTTTAAATGCTGTTATTGCATTCTTTAACATAAAGAATTACACACAAATTGTACATTTTGCTCTTTATGTCTTGCTTTTTCTACAGAGGAACTTAATGTATAGTATTTCTGAAAGCTCTCATTATGAAATCTGACCATAATACAACCTATTTATATGTTGATTTGCTCCCCCCACCTTTTAAGGAATAATATGATTATAAGCAGTTATCCTTCACACATCAAGAAAGAAAAAATAGAGGATTATTCTGGATTTGATCAGAAAATATAGGAAACATTCTGTCTCCTGTTTTCTGAAGTTTGGTGTAAAGATAACTAAGGAAGCGATGAAGTAGTCTTTCTTCCTTCTCATCTTTCCTCACCACTGCACTTCCGTCTGTAATACACTTGCCAGTCTGAACAGCTGCTTGAATGAGGTCGAATCACTGGCTTGAATTTTGACTGATGTTGTAGAGGCCAGTGGACTAGTGAAGAGGAAACAACATGTAACTCTTGTATTTTAAAAATAATTTGTTCTAGTGGATTGTAACAGTCAGTCACAATGATTATTTTTTCTCAAAATTATATTATAAAAAATTTCAAACACACAGAAAAATTGAAAGAACTTAATGGTGAATACCTGTGTATATCTACCATATATATATATATATATATATATATATATATATATATATTTTTTTTTTTTTTTTTTTTTTTTTTGGTATGTGCCCCTAGTGGGAACCAAACCCGGGACTCTCTGGTCTGCAGGCCAACGCTCCAACCGCTGAACCAAACCGGCCAGGGCTGCCACATATATTTTTACATTTACATTTTACTAAACTTCTTATCACATATCTATCTACTAATCCTATTTGGGGGGGAGGGTGCATGTCAGAGTAAATTGTGGACATTAGTAGACTTCCCTCTAATACTTAAGTATATATATATAATTTACTAGAGTTCATTATCTGTTTAGTCTTCTTTCAACATAAACTTTACACACAATGAGCTGCCCAAGTTTTAAGTGTGTAGTTTTTAAGTTTTGACAAATGCATACATCAGTGTAGTCAAACTCCTATCAAGATCTACAGTATTTCTTCAAATACTTTTTCTGCCCCTTCCTATTTCTCTTCTCCTGGGGTTACAATTATACATGTGTAGGACCTGTTGGTATTGTTTTATGTGTATCTGAAACTTCTTTTTTTCCCCCAGTTGTTTTTTTTTCTTTCTGTTCTTAAGATTGGATGCTGTTAACCTATTTTCAAGTTCATTGTCTCTTTGTCTCCATTCAGCTGTTAAGCTCATCCAGTGAATTTTATATCTTAGACATTGTATTTTTTAATTGCAGAATTTGCATTTGGTTATTTTCTGTAGTGTCTGTCTTTGCTGTGATTTATTGTTTGTTGGTTTTTTTCTTTTCTTTCGTTATTATGAGCCTATTTTTTTTTTTTATATTTTTGAGCATTAACATCTTTGTCTACAAATGCTAATGTGTAGGTCATCTAGGTTTGGATTCTGGGCATTGTCTTGTTTTTTTTTATTCTCACCCAAGGACATTTTTCCATTTTTTGTTCAGATAGGGTGGGAGGGAAAGAGAGAGAGAGAAACATTGACATGAAAGGGACACATCGAGTGGCTGCCATCCACACGACCAACCAGGGCTGGGGACAAACTGCAACCGAGGTACGTGCCCTTAGCGGGAACCGAACCCGGGTCTCTCTGGACCACAAACTGACGCTCTAACCGCTGAGCCAAACCGGCCAGGGCCATTGTCTTGTTTTTTAAGAATGGGTCTCATTCTCCTGTTTCTTTGTGTTTGGGGGTAACTTTGGATTATATTCTGGATGTTGGATGTTATGATGTAGAGACCATAGAATCTGTTATATTACTCAGAGTGTTTCTTCTTTTTTTTCAGCAGGCAATTAATTTGGTTGGATTCTGCAGCTTGGTAGTGGCAGCTCTTACCTCAGCTTAGTTTTATTATCCATAGCTGGAGTCTGTCCCACACATGTGTGGTTCAGGGATCAGCCAGGTATTTGAGCAGACTTTATTCACATAATTTTGGGTTTTCTCCTTTCCAAGATTCCCACCTTACTTTGTAGCCGCTGTGATTGCTCTGAACTTTGCCTCTGGTTCTTCAGGCCAGAAAAACTGTATTTTCTATTGGAGTTTTACCCGCCCTGCTCTGCGCCAGCTTTGGTCTGCCCGTAGGCTAAACATTATTGAAAACAGGTAGCTAACTTTGTACAATGCCCTTTTTACCAAGACTCAAATCCTGTCCAAAATCTGCTTTGCTTTTATTCACTCTCCAGTGCCTTTGGGTTATATGTTGTCTTGGTTTTGGTTTTAGTCTAGAGCTTAGTGTTATCTACAAGAGAGTAGGGTCCGGTAGCAGTGATTTTTTTATTTTCTTAAAGAAACAAGTAAAGATAACCCTGTGCCTTGTTTTCATAAATCAGAAATGTCTGTAAAAACAGATTTTAAAAGCTCTGGCTCACAGGATACCATGATTAATTGATTTTTCTCTTTCTCTCATACTTGTTTAATAACATTGGGATTAAACCATATAAACAGTCTTATGATTTGTTTTATTCACTTCTTATATTAAGAACATATTTTCATACTCATTGCCTTTTTCTTTCTCCCTTATTGATTTGAGAGAGAGAGAAAGGGAGAGGGAGAGAGAGATAGAAACATCGATAAGAGACAACATCGACTGGCTATCTCCTGCATGCCCCCCACTGGGGATCGGTCCCACAACCTGGGCATGTGCCCTGACTGGGAATTGGACCAGCAACCTCTTAGTGCATGGGTCGACGCTCAACCACTGAGCCACACTGGCCGGACCATACTCATTGCTTTTTAATGGCTCCATAGGATTAAATTATATGGATGTACCACAATTTATTTAATAAATTCTCTATTCTTAGACATGGAAGGTATTGTGTGTGTGTGTATGTGTTTCATAATTAGAAAGTAAGTTACAAATACCTACCTGGCAATATGTGATCATTTTTCCTTTTTTTTTTTTTCATTGTATCACTAGAAAACATTACTCTTTGAGTTGAATAAGAAGTTGGTTTATACTTAAATTATAGGCTCACTGAGGATGTGGTGAAGCCATCTGATTTTTAGCATATTGGAGAGAGAATTACTTTATATAACTAAAGTCAAGAAAGTATTCTTGGGCCCTGGCCAGTTTGGGTCAGTGTTTAGAACATCGGCCAGCGGACTGAAGGGTTGTGGGTTCAATTCCTGGTCAAAGGCATGTACCTGGGTTACAGGTTTGATCCCCATCCCCAGTCGGGTCATGCGGGAGGCAGCTAATCAATGTGTCTCTCTCACATCCATGTTTCTCTCTCTCTCTCATTCTCTCCCTCTCCCTCCCTCTCTTTTCCTCCCTCCCTCTTTCCACTCTATCTAAAAAAAATCAATGGAAAAATATCCTAGGGTGAGGATTAACAAACAAATAAAAAGAAAGTATTCTTGGTACGTAATTATAGAAGTAAAATGTGTGTAAGCTGTATGTGCATTTGCATGTGTGAGTGATGGGCTGATATGGAGATTTTGAGAAGATGATAGAGCAGACCGATATCAATAATGTCTAAAATTATGTTTCAGATATTTGAACTTTGTTATGTTGCATTGCTTACTTGCTGATGCGTCTGACTACAACTGTAACTTTCTGCTTTGATAACAGACAGATTCTATCACTAACATTTTACTATGCTTTCTTTATCACCTATCTACCTATCCATCTAGAGGATGCATTTTGAATTAATATTGAAATTTTAATAGGGCTTTTGAAAGGTGTTGGCAATTATGCACCTTTACGTTTAATTTTATAGCACTGTGGTTCTGTAAATAGAAATTCCTCTTGAACTTAAACAATGATATCACTATATACTGTTTGAGGGGAAAATTGGAATTCTGTAGTGGCTTACTTATAAAGGAAAAATGAAATCAGAATATTCTTTTTTTTAGGTATAGCCTGTAAAGGTAGTGAGTCATTTATGATGCTGCTACTCTTAACAGTGCTATTCTTATTACCATAAATAGACTTGGTAGCAGTGTTTGTGTGCTGATCAAGTGTTAGCTTATAGGGATGTCGACTCTTTATAAGGCTCTGTGGCATCATAGCTCCCTGTTGGCACCCCTCTGACTGTGGACTGTGCTTAGATTGTACACACAGTTTTTTGAACCATGATGAGGATAGAATCGCGCCTCATAACCCCATATTTTATTTTTCTTTTCTGAACTCAATGTAAAGCTACCTGTTTTATTGTTTAGCTTAATTCAGAAAATACTAGTTTATACTGTGGGTTCTGTTTTAAATGGGACAAAAATAATTAAAACATGGTGATCATTTAAACATTTAATAAACTTTGTGTGTATATATTATTTCCAATGTGATTATAAGCTTTGAAAGAAATTTGACCTAAATATAAAACACATGTAGAATAAAGGAACAAAGAAATATACAGCTCAGTGATTTATTACAAAGCAAAACATGTGTATAGTCACCACTGAAGTAAAGAGAGTATTACCAGCAACCCCAGAGTTTCCATCTTTCCCCTTTTCGGTCAATTCACAGTAATCAGTATTCCAGTTGCTGTAATCATCACTTTCTTGCTTTTCTTACTTTTTACCACGTAAGTACGTATTCTTAAATGTTATGGTCTAGTTTTCTTCTGTTTTATGACCTTTATATAAATGAAATTACATACTTAGTATATATTCTTTTGTTTGTGGGTTCTTTCAGTCAACATTATGTTTGTGAAATTTATTCAAATTGTTCTTAACGTCAGTTTTTTTTATATCTGTACAGTTTGTTTTTGTATCTATTGTATTAAAATGGATGATATACAGTAGTTTCCTATATAGTATACTATAAGGTATTTTTATGTAGTAAGTATATACTACAGTTCATCTATTTTACTGATAATGGGCATTTGAGTTTTTCCCAGAGTTTGGCTGTTATGGATAATGACACTTATGAACATTTTTGTTGTTGTTGTTGTTAATCCTCACCTGAGGATATTTTTTCCATTGATTTTTAGAGAGAGAGTGGGGGGGGGGGGGGAGACAGACAGACAGACATTGATGTGAAAGACACATTGATTGGTTACCTCCTACACACACCCTGACTAGAACCAGGGATCAAACCTGCAACCCAGCTACATGCCCTTGATCTGGAATCCAACCCGCCACCCTTCAGTCCACAGGCTGACATTCTAACCACTGAGTCACACCGGCCAGGATGCTTGTGCACATTCTTGTACTTGTCTCTTGGTGCACATATGCAAGCATTTCAATTGTGTATATGTCCTAGAATGGTGTTTTTGGGTCATAGGGTATAAATATTGATAGCTTTAGTAGAAATTAGCAAACTCTTTTCCACAATGATTATATCAATTTACATTTTCATCAGCAGAGAATGATAGTTCACATTGGTCTACTTTCTTGTCAACTCTTGCTATTATCAGGCTTTTTAATTTTAACCATTCTGGTGAGCATGTAGTAGTATCTTACTAGAGTTTTAATTTACATTTCCCTCACGACCAATGAGATTGAGCACCGGGTCATGTTTATTGGCTATTTGGATAGACTCTCGTCTAAAGTGTCTGCTTAAGTCTTAAGCTAATTTATATATAGGCTTGCTTGTCTTTTTCTTATTTATTTGTGGGAGTTCCTCATAAATTCTGGATATGAGCCCTTTGTTATATTTGTTGCCCATATCATACCCCCACTCTGTGGGTTACCTCTTTACTCTCTTAAGTAGTCATTTGACATGGAAAATTTCAATTTTAATGTAGTTGAGTTTATTAAAACTGTTTTATGATTAATGCTGTGTTCCACTTAAGAAGTGCTTCTTTGCCCTAAGAGCATGAAGTCTCATGAATTTACTTAATATAGATTTTTTTTGATTTGCCTTTAACATTTAATTTACAGCTACAATTCACATGGAATTAATTTTTTGTGAATATATTTAGTTGGGATGAGGGTTGTTGTTATTTTTTCTATATCAATATTCAGTTGTCTTACTCCCTTTTAGTGAAAAGACCATTTTTTCCCTACTGATATGTAGTACTGCAGTGATTATAAATCAAGTATCCATAAGATAGGTGTCTTCTTCTGGGCCTTCTATTCTGTTCCATTGATCTTATAATTGTATTCTTAATACCCAGTAGAGCAAATTTTTTTTTTTATCCTCACCCGAGGACATTTTTCCATTTTTTTTGTTCAGATAGAGTGGGAGGGGGAGAGAGAGACAGAGAGAGAGAGAGACAGAGAGAGAGAGAGAGAGAGAAACATCGACGTGAAAGGGACACATCGAGTGGCTGCCACCCGCACGACCAACCAGGGCCGGGGACAAACTGCAACCGAGGTACATGCCCTTAGCAGGAACCGAACCCGGGTCTCTCTAGACCACAGGCTGATGCTTTAACTGCTGAGCCAAACTGGCCAGGGCCCAATAGAGCAAATTTTTAATCTTGTTTTTCTTAAAGATTACCTTTTTTATTATTTTTGGTCCTTTATGTTTCGATATAAATATTTTTTATTCATTTTGCTGTTTGATTTCTAACTTTATTGCTCTGGTATTAGAGGACATATTCTGTATGATTTCAATCTTTAAACATTTATTGAGACTTGCTCTGTGTATCTCAGCATGTGGTCTTTTAATTTAATAAAATTTTATTTTTCAAAATGTGCAGCTGGTGGAATCTCTCATTCAGGCATCTTCACCAATAGCCAGGCACCCCACTTCTGGTGTCTCTGGTGTAAATTTCTTGAGCTCTGTGCTTTGAAGCTAGTTTAGTGAGTCCTTTACCAAGGAGCTCCTGAGGGACCGTGTGGCCCCTCTGCGTCCCAAGGACCGTGGCCTTCCGTCTCAGACGGTGCGGGGCTGTGGGCTTGTGGTGGGGACTCCCTTACCGCCTGTCACACGTTGCTTTGTCAGACAGGACAGGATGCTGGGCCAAAAGGAGCACGTGGTCAGGTTTTATAAATGTTCGTGAAAAGAGCACATCTCCAAAAAAAGATAATCTTTTTTTACTTAAACGATGTTCTTTGTGTAGGTAGAAAAATAAAAGGAAACTCTGATCACAAAATATAGAATTGTCTACAATATTTTGGAATATGTACTTAGGAGCAGGGTTCATGGCTGATCGCTGGCAGAATACTCCACGCAGAGCTCAGTAAATTTGTGCTTTTTTTTTAGATATCAAATGCATGTGAATTAATATTACTTGAAACAAAACTTTTTTTCTTTTGCCTTAAATGCTCCAGCTGTTGGCTAATAACTCCAAGAAAAGGATGTCATAAAACTTTAGAAACATTTGCTTTCAGGATCTGCCAGAGCATCTTTTGGAGATCGAAAGGCAGAACTTTCCAGTTCATCCCATCCCGGCTCCAGCTATGACATATATAACCCGTTCTATATGTATCGGCACATCTCACCAGATCTGAGCCGGCGCTTTCCTCCTGGTTCAGAAGCGATGCGACTGTATGGATCAGGTTTGACGTTTTTCCTTGTTTGTTTTTCCTCTTTGTGTTTCTTTCTTTTTCAAAGTCCAGCTTTTTATTGAATGTGTTACAATAGAGGTTTAGTCGAAAAGACCAAAGCCCATCAGACTGCTCAGATTCTTCTTTCTGCGTTTCCGCTTTCTCCTCAGCTGGGGCAGCAGGAGAGGCCTCTGTTTCTCTTTTAGCAAATGTGCAAGTCAGATTGAATCTTAGACCCTGGAACAGATGATTCTTACGGAAAACAAGTGATGTGATAAACAATCATGACTTCTTTGTGGTATTACATAAATTGAAAAACTAGTAAGTTATGTGTGTTAGTGAGTTCTAAATTCCACTTTATTTGTCCTTTTTTGAAAAAAGTTTTGTTTACAGATTATTTTGTATATATTTTATCATTTATCCATTCATAAATTTTACAACTATTTACTAGCTTTTTTCTTTTGTGCTCTATTCAGTGAAAATGATAAATTTAGAAAATCATATGATTAGAAATGTAAACAAAGAAAATAGAAAATGCCTAAATGATTTTAGAACTTTTTTAGTTTCATATTTGAGGCTGCATCAGTTATAGTCTATCTTGTACATATCTAATTCACAAAATTCTCACTGTTCTTCAGGTCTTTTGTGTATGTAGCTGTCTCAACCCTGAATTCAGGATGAGGTACTAAAAATAAAGCAGAAGTATTTATTTAAATATTTCTTTATTTCAGCTCTGTGCTAGAATACACAATTAGCATGCAGAGGAACATTCTCCATGGATCTTACAGTTTGGGAGGGAAACTAAAAATATAGGATCACATAGGATTTGGTATTGATTTTTTTTTTAAATAAAAAGAAGCATTCATTGAATAGTTGCATTGCATTTGGCACAGAGGGCTTACCTTCTCTTAGGTTATTTTTATGGGATGAAGAATTGAGGAATGTAGTGAGAAGAATGAATTTCCCCTGCTTGATATTTGATGTGGATATGAAAATATGTTGATTTTTGTTGGTTTCTGTTTCAAACAAGGTAAAATAATTTAAAAGTTTTTAAAACTTCATTAGAAGGTATTTTCTCTTTAGATTTGCAATATTCATGATATATTACTAAAAATATTTAGTTGATTGTAATTAAGTACAATTCTAAATGTTTCTTCTTCTTTACTATAAAAATAAGTAATTTACTTACGTCCCTTTGTAGTTTGTGATTTAAGAACCAACAAACTCCCTGGTTCCCCTGGGCTAAGCAAGTCTATGTTTGACCTTTCAAGTTCATCTCAGAAGTTCATCCAGGTAAATTATTTATATAAATTTAATTATATCTGATCATTAATTTTCAAGCTAAAAATCCAGAAATATGTAAATTGCATTAGGAACAACGTGTTTTACATCTTTGATAGATGTATCTATATAAACATTTGTCATTTCCCATGTGCATTATTTTAGGAAGATTTCAACTGAATACAGAAAGGCAGTAGTTTTTATTTTGTTTGTGTTTTTATGAGTCTTACATCTCCCATTTGGTATGCACTCAGACAGTTGCAATTTAAAATGGTACATAGTTAAAAGCGCTTATTGATTTAAATTTCTTTAATGAACATAACTAATTAATAAAAATTAATATTTCTATTGAGATGTAAACTTTATTCATTAATATTAAAACTGTCCTATTTTCAAATAAAATTGAGAATTTTTTGATATTTAAAAATTATATTTTATATACAAGTGAACTGTGATTATTATTAAAGAATTAGAAAGTAGACTTAAGCAAAGTAAGACAAATCACCTATATTTCTATAACTGTGAGTAAAAGCACTATTCAGATATTGTTTATGTATACTTGTGTATTTTTTTAATGTGAATGTATATACATATATTTCATTAAAAGGGCATGTATTCTAAGTAATCCTTAATAATCTCAGTTGAGTTCATTTTTGGCAGTCTTAATTCTTTATAGCACCAGTTCTTTAACATGCATTAGAATTGTGTGGAGAGCTTGTTAAAATACAGAATGTCAGGCCTCACCCCCACAGGTTTTGATTTAGGAGCTCTACAGTGGGGCATGAGTTTGTATTTCTAGTAGTTTCCCAGGTGAAGCTGATACTCCTGGTCCAGAGAGACCATGCTTTGATCACTATTGCTTTACAGGTTTTTGGGTAGCAGGGCACTTCCAAATATATTCTGATTTTTATTAGTACCTTTAAAAATGAAACATAAGCCATAATCTCTTTATCCTTATTATAAAACCAGACCAAACAGCAAAGGCTTTTTCATATATTATCTAGTAAGGTATGTAAGATTTTCCTGATAACACACACAGAAGTCTTTCTTCCTATTTTCTGTCTAAAAGTAGGGAATTCTGATCAGTAACTGTCAAAATGGTTAGCATTTTGTTAGTAGGGTAGGTATAATTTCAGACTCCTTTAAGTTTGATATGCAATTTCTCACTAAAGAAGAGTTTTATTTGTAGAGACATGATTCCCTGTCCAGTGTGCCCAGTAGCTCTTCGTCAAGGAAAAATTCTCAGGGGAGTAACAGAAGCTTGGGTAAGGAATAAAGTATCCAACTTTTATACTCTTAAGGGAATTATTTCTACCCAATAGTAATTTGAAAGTATATATGAAAAGGTAAAAAAAAAAAAAACTCTAGATGATTGTATCTACGTTGGCAGTGTTACATGCATATGAATACACGTATCAGATGGTCCGTTTTTTAGTGTTCAGGCATGAATATGTCTTTTTTAAAAAGTGAAGCAGTTAAATATCTTTTGTTCTTTTTAAAGTATATTAGTGAAGGAACTTTCTGAAGCATGCAGTATTAAGGCCATATCATTTATTTGGGAAGGTTTTTCTTTGTTTTAACTTAAATTTCTCAGGTTATAATTGGGTTCATTTTTTAAGCCATGTATTTTTATAGAGTATCTTCCCCTAGCACTTCAGTAAAACACTGAAATGTGATGTTTGTCTTATTGTCAACTTAAAAAAAAATCATTGTAGCGTTTTTCAGTTTTGCCCTTAAAATCGGATTATATCAAAGCTTAATTGGGTTAGAAGGATTGTATAGTATTTCAAACATCTTTGTCTTTTTACAATTCAGATACTATTACGCTCTCAGGAGATGAGAGAGACTTGGGGAGACTGCATGTGAAAGTGGTTTATAACTCTGCAGTGGAGCAGATCTGGATCACAGTGCTACGGGTACGTACTCTAGCAAATACCAGCTTTTCTTACCAAATTGCATAGTTAGACATTTTAAACACATACTGTTGCTCTCTCCTGGGGATTGGTCATTACCTTCTTTGGAATTTAAGGTTCTATAGTATTCTGGAGAAAATAAATCAGTAGGTGTGATGGAAGTATTTGACTTTTACCCTCAAGAAGGAGTTTGATATGATATTAGAACATTAAATGTCAAATTATTTTATTTTTTATTTTTTTTTATCCTCACCCGAGGATATTTTTCCATTTTTTGTACAGATAGAGTGGGAGGGAGAGAGAGGAAGGGAGAGAGAGAGAGAAACATCGATGTGAAGGGACACATCGAGTGGCTGCCACCCGCACGACCAACCAGGGCCGGGAACAAACTGCAACCGAGGTACGTGCCCTTAGCAGGAACCGAACCCGGGTCTCTCCGGACCGCAGGCCGACGCTCTAACCGCTGAGCCAAACTGGCCAGGGCTAAATGTCAAATTATTTTAAAGCAAATGAAATAGGAGGTCTCAGTAGACTAAAGTTTACTTTTAAAGTTTGAATCTAAAGTCAATAAGTCAAGAAATACATAAAATATGTGTATTGTCAGTATCCTTTGTAAAATTCAAACTATATATTTAATTTTTCAGTGCAAGGATTTAAGTTGGCCCTCTAGTTATGGTGACATGCCTACTATTTCTATAAAAGGAATCCTAACATTGCCCAAACCAGTCAATTTCAAATCTTCAGCCAAGGAAGGCTCCAGTGTAAGTAGTTATTTGTGTCTGAATTTCTTTTTATGTTTTTCTCATATCTGTCACTTTAACCCATGTAAAGAATTGGAATAAAGAAGTGTTTTCTTTTGGGAAACTGCAAATTATGTACCCCTTGCTTTTTTTTTTTTAAATTTATTTCTGTTACAGATGTTTCTCCTTTTTTCCCCATTAACACCATTCTCCCCCCCCCCCACCCTGTCCCCAGCTTTGTTGTTTGTGTCCATCAGTTATGCGTACATGCATATAAGTTCTGTGGTTTAGCTCTTCCCTCCCCCCACCTTGCTTTTTAATGACTATTTTGAGCCTTAAAAAGTACTTGATATTTCATTGTCCAATATTAAGGTACATTTAAAAATAAAATTGTCATCACTAAAATATATAGAAGATGAACAATATATAAGAAAACTCTTTACTTTTCTCTTATGAAAGGAAAACAAATGTCTGTATTTTCCTCTTCTCTCCTCCTACCCCATATGGCTTTGAGAAATACTTTCCATTATTATAACTGGAAGATTTATGATCCTAAATTTGGTTTTATAGATTCTAGATTTCACATTAACTTAAATATATCTTCATTTTTGTCTTTTGATATGGGTTGAACGGTTTGTGTTTTTCCATGCAAATTAAAGGTATCTTCTTCAAAAACATATCACTTAAAAATAAGGTAACTCATGCCCTGGCCAGTGTGGCTCAGTTGGTTGAGCATCCTCCCATGCACCGAGGGGTTACTGGTTCAATTCCTGATCAGGGCACGTGTCCTGAGATAGCTGATCGATGTATCACTCTCACATTATGTTTCTCTCTCTCTCTCTCTCTCCCTCTCTCTAAAAATCTTTAAAAAATAAAAGTAATTCAAATGACTAGTAAACATGAAATTGCATATTGCTTTCTTTATTTTCTATCTTTTTTCATTTATTAAAATTAGGAAAATTTTTACAAGTACTCTAGAACATAAAACTTTCTGAAAATTATTTTAATGACAGTACACTTCAAAACCTTTAACTACTTATACTTTTTAACATAGTTATTCTACTTGGACTATGTTCCATGGAAATAATCTAATATATGTGTATAAAATACACATACAGGATAGGCAAAAGTAGGTTTACAGTTCATATGAAAAAGACTTGCAGGTTATGATTTTTACAGTGGCTTTATTAATTCAAAAGAATGTCACAGTGGCATCGTACGCTTAGGTACAACCTCATGTAAGGGCTCAAATTGCCGACCTTCATTGTTTACATGTTCTTGTAGTCTGCTTGCTCTACTCAAGCACTCTTTGGCATAGAGTCTCTGTTGTCATCTATTTGTTGACATGCGTCTCCGTCATTGCCTAAAAGATAAATCATAAGTAAGGATACAAAATAATAACAAGAATAATAGGAAAATAAATAATATAATAAGTAATAAGTAACAATGTAAGAATAAGTTCTGTTTTATGTACTCACAACTATAAACCTACTTTTGCCAACTCCTGTCTGTATTTATGTATACATAAAGTATTCTTGGCAAATTGTCCATAGTACATAAGTTGGAAACAATATAAATGTCTCTTATAGGGGAATGACTGAGAAAACTCATGGAATACCATGTCTATTAGTTTCCTACGGTTTTGTAATTTTGAACAACAGAAATGTATCTCTCAGTTTTGGAGGAAGTCTGGAATCAAGATTTCAGCAGTATTGGTTCGTTCTCTGAGGGAGAATCTGTTCCACGCCTGTCTCCTGGCTTGTGGTGCTGGCCAGGCATCCCTGACATTCCTTGGCTTCACTCTGATCTCAGCTTCCATCGTCACATGGCGTTCTCCCTGGCTCTCTGTGTCTTCACGTGGCCGTTTTCTTATATCAGTCTCTCTACTCCAACATGCTCTCCTCTTAACTTCACTAGTTGTATCATCAGTGACCCTATTTCCAAATAAGGTCACATCTTAGTTACTGAAGGTTAGGACTTCAACATGTTCTTTGGGGAGGACACCATTCAAACCATAGCACCATGTAATAGAATACTAAATATCTATGAAAAATAATGTTTAGGAGTTTTATTGTTTCATTTTATTTATTTATTTATTTATTTTATTGATTTTAGAGAGAGAGGGAAGAAGAGAGAGAGGGAGAGAGATAGAGAAACATCGATGAGAGAGAACATTGATTGGCTGCCTCCTGCATGCCCCTCACTGGGGATTTGGCCCACAACATGGGCATGTGCCCTGACCGGGAATTGAACAGGCGACCCCCTGATGCATGGGTCGATGCTCAACCACCGAGCCACACTGGCCAGGCTAGGAGGAGTTTTTTAAGGACATGGGAAAATGTTCTTAATAAGTGAAAAGGCAGAAATCAAAATCTGTATAGAGTATGATATCATCTTAGAAAATATGCATTCTAGAAAGTCTAAATGGAAGTAAGTCTTATCTCTGGTTGTGATCCTAATACTTATTTAACAATTTCACTTTTTGGTTTTCAAATAAAACAAAGTTAACTTAGGAAAGTTGGGGGGAAAGGAGCTTAAGTGATTAGGAAGCTCTCAGAAACACAGTTCCGACCGCACAACACAAACAGTTACAATAAAAGAGAAAATGTGTGCACAATATCTCAAATATTGATGTTGGTTGCCCAGATATCTTGCCTTTACAAAAAGCAAAAAAAAGCTGCTTTTCAAAAGGATGCATTCAAGATGGAAAGAAGAGAGGGTGCAGCAAAGAGTAGGATCAAGAAGATGTTAGCCCTTGGTAAACCAAGGTTTAAAAATATTAAAAGTAACAAAAAGGACACTTGAAAATAATTCAAGCATGGAAAACATGAACCTGCTGCATGGGGTGGATGCTTATGCAAGAAGGTAGCACTTTATACTTATTCTTTCCTTTGTCTTCTCTACTAAGAATTATTTTCAGATTGGAAAGAGTGGAACAGACATCACCAAAAGAGAAATTGAAGCCCAATAGGTGGGAAGACCATTAGACAAAGAATCACTCCTTTAAAGAAATAATTCAAGTCTTGTATTGTGAACAAGTTAGATTTTGAGTGCTCAGAGAGCTCGCCTGAGATTCTTAAACCACTCTTTTTACTGTTGAAGAACTGTAAATAGCAGAAAGCATGACCCAGAACCAAAGATGGAAAGCAACCTAATTTTCAAAAAGGGGGAAAACTATATATATTCTGGTACACTTGGTGATGATATTGACCTGAGTTCCTGAATAAGTAATTAAAAGGATGATTTGTGGAATGAAGTAAGACAGTATCCAGGATAAATTCTGGAAAATAACCCATGGCCATTCTCCTTTTCATTTACATTAAAAAATATTTGTTATTGTTTGTAAAAGATCAATCTACCTTTCCTAGACTATAAAATGTTATATTTATTTTGTATTGGCATGTCACCCTTATTTCAGTCTTTATATTTTCTTTTTTTTTTTTTTTAGAGTATTGAATTTATGGAAACGTTTGTATTTGCTATTAAACTCCAAACTCTACAAACTGTAAGGCTTGTATTTAAGATTCAAATCCAGACTCCCAGGAAGAAGACCATTGGAGAATGCTCACTGTCACTCAGAACTCTTAGCACGCAGGAAATGGATTACTCTTTGGAAATAGTACCACCTTCAAAAATTTCTGTAAGTGATAATGATATGTAAATAACCCTGAAGTAAGAATAATTTTAAATTATTCATTAATTTTTTTAAAGTTTTTTTTAGTAGCTGATAACTTAGGAAGAGCAGGAAAGAGTCATAAACTGTAAACCCAATCAGAGATTGCCTTCAGTGGATTAGGAAAGTTGTTTTTAATCATGAGTAAGCTATATATCTGTCCATAAATTGAGTAGAAAGGAGGTTTTTAGAGCTGGTATTTTTTTTTAAAGAACTAGATTTTCTATAGTGCTGTTTCATTTTTGAGACTGGATATTTCCTTCTCTCAGCTAAGCCAGCTGAACACTTAAATTGTTTAGAAATCCTTAATAATTTAATTATATCGTTTCTATGTCAGGATAACATTTATAGAAATCAGCCATAACGTTTTATAAGGTCAAACCTTAAGTGACTTTAAATTTATATAGGATTTATATTTTACCTACTTTTCAAAAATATTTACGATGACTTGAAGTAATTCTTAACCCTGGGTACACATTGAATCACCTCAGGAGCTTTTAAAAAGATGCCCACACCTACCTAATTAAATCAGAACGTTGCGGGTCGGGCCAGAGGCAGCTGTAATTTCAAAAGCTCCCCAGGTTGCCCTGGCCGGTTTGGCAAAAGCTCCCCAGGTGATTCTAATATGTAGCCTGGCTCGAGAAGCATTAAATTCGCAGGGAAATTAAGTATCAAAAGATAAAAAACAAAGACTTGTTATAATCAAGAATAGCTGAAATTTCTTAATTTCTTTATTCCTTGCCTATTATTTTCTGTTTCCATCCCCAAAGTGTTCTTTTGTCGCATTTATTACAACTAAGAATTATTTCAGTTACTTGTTCTAAACAAAACAAGGCTTGAGCTTTCATCTTTCTCCGGAATTGAGTGTGCGCTCAGTAATGGCCCGTCATGTTCCTGGCATTGAATATTTGTATGTAGATGGATGTGAGAGAATACATGATGAATGAAAACATGCCAGATTAGATTATTTTGTTAAAATATGTGTAAGCAGCCCTGGCTGGTTTGGCTCAGCGGTTGGAGCGTCGGCCTGCGGTCCGGAGAGACCCGGGTTCGGTTCCCGCTAAGGGCACGTACCTCGGTTGCAGTTTGTCCCTGGCCCTGGTCGGTTGTGCGGGTGGCAGCCACTCGATGTGTCCCTTTCACGTTGATGTTTCTCTCTCTCTCTCTTCCTCTCTCTCCCTCCCACTCTATCTGAACAAAAAATGGAAAAATGTCCTCGGGTGAGGATAAAAAAAAATATGTGTAAGCAAATGTGTTTTGTAGCTGTGATAGGAGTGTGTCACGTGCATCTTTGAAACTAGCTTGGTAGACAGTACTGTAACCATAGTTTATAGACGGCACAGATGTTCAGATGGCTAATTCGTATATTCACATTTAAATCAGTGAGACAAGTAGAACACATCAGACTCAGCAAAGGTATTTTCTGGGGAATTGAGACATTATAATCTTATCTGCCTTGGAGAATCTGAATGAACGATTATGGTTCAGTTTCTACTAAATTATATAGCAGCAGTCTTATTTCAGCGAAGGTTTTATTTTGTGTATGGCTATTGAATTTGTTCATGTGAAAAGGTTTATTAATCCATTCTTATTCTGCTTGAAAGGAAAAGCAGTACATTCACTTATTTGTTCAAATGTAGCACTTTTTGGGGGCCAAAATAGACAAGTTTCACTATAATTTTAGATGTTTCATGGTGGAGTTTAACCTCAACAGCTAAGTTTATGCTTTTAAGTGATTCACATTTCACTGTCTATCTCTTGATTTCTTATGGCATGGCCAATTTTAAAACATAGGATCATGTTTTAAGAAAATGCCAAAGATGCAGTCAATGGAATGTATGTGCAAAGGTCCTTTTTAGGGAGCCAAGAGCCAGTTATTGGGCTGTTGGGCGATCATCAAATGTGACCCCTTCGTTGAGTGTGACCCCTTCATCGAGTGTGACCCCTTCATCGAGTGTGACCCCTTCATCGAGTGTGACCCCTTCGTCGAGTGTGACCCCTTCATCAAGTGTGACCCCTTCATCCAGTGCATTCAGCTGTGCTAGAGCTTTGGTCGGAATCAATATGAGCAAAGACTTTTGTGTCTGTCTATGCTGAACCCTATAGAGATCTCTTAACATTATGTTCTTGCTTTATTTACATACTTTTCAACATGTGGAGAGTAATGTTTTTGTGTTTGGACGACCTTATGTTTCTTTTATTTTTCACTCCAAGGACCTTGGAATCCAGATAAGTAGGCCGGCTGGTGCTGTTCACAGAGAAGTTACCAGCTTTATGCCGCCGTTAGTCAGCAGTTCTGAGGAGCCCATTTTTACTTTCCCCCTCCGAGTCTCCTTCATTTTATTGTTTGCCTCAGGTTTTCTTTGACCTTTTCCTCATTATTTACTGCCTCATAACGCTCAGTAGCTTCCTTCGTGCCAGCCCTCGTCCTTGGCTTGCTCCCATGCAGCGGTCGTTGGGCGCCGGCCCACAGCCGTTTCACTGTAGTTATCCTTTGTCTTGGGATTTGGGTAGCACCTGCTCAGATTTCCACAGTCAGAAATAATAATGATGATCCTCAGGTATTACATTTTCAAATCGTATTTCATGTTCTCAAAAAATAATTCAGATGACTGCATTTAAGTCTTTTGAAAGTATGTCTGCTCTTTTAGGTGTTTATTTCACTGATATTCTTCTCTGGTAAAACCGCTTAGGAATTTATTTGTTTCTAATTTGAGTTGTCTTTTGGCCTCCCTGATTTTGAAGAATCGGTATGTAGCTATAACTTGCAGTTTCTGAATCCCTGAAGGTGAACACTTCCTATGTACAGAATCCAAGATGTTCATCTTCTAAACCTTGTTTTATGACATGTAGCGTTGTGTGTCAGTAAAAGGCAGTGATTTCAAAATTTCTAATCTTAGCTCTTTATTTTCGAATTTTTTAAACATCCCAGAACTTTATTCTTAATTACCAAGTGACACTTTTTTGATATGCAGGTTTACCACGCAGAACTTGAACTGGGGACTTGTTTTCAAGCCGTGAACAGCAGGGTTCAGTTACAGATTCTTGAGGCACAATGCCTTCCAAGCTCCTCAACACCTCTGACTCTCAGTAAGTGTATCAGTGCTGCAAAGTGGAATCTAAAGAAAATATTAGTAAAAGATAGTTTTTTCCTACATTTCTCACGATGGAGATTAAAGTTTTAGTAACCTTTATAATTTAACTTAAATACTTTTAACTTACAATCACTTTGTTGGATTTCAAATTTTAGCCACTGTGCCTACCTGAATCCACTGCTCTCTTGATTCTTATCTGTTTGTGACCTCTCTGCATTTGAAGCCCTTCCTGGTCTGGCTCGTTAGTTACTACAGACTGAATGTCCCGGGGACTGTCAGAAATGCTTCACCAGCCTAGGTCATGTTTCCTATGTGACCTTCGTTGGATACTCTCATGAGAAATTTAATTTTAAAAACCCAAAAATATCAAATGTAACCCTTGAAACAGTTTTTCCTCCCTGCCCTTTGGGCACAGCCAGGGGTTCTGATAGTTGGTTGGATAGGCCTGTTCGCATGGTGACCCTAGACTGTAGGTTGAGGTCAGCCCTACCTCAAGAGCTAAGAGTGGGGGAAAAGTGCTCCTTTTCCCTACTAGAAGAAGAGAAGCTGTCTGGAGCAGGCAAAAGGAATGGGTGTCCACTGTAACTACGGAGACTGAAAATAAAGACAGCTGAGTGTTCAGTTCACAAAGCTAGAAAAACAGCCAATTCAAAGGAAAGAAGTAAGGAATTAAAGCCAAAGTTGAAGTTGATAAGTATTGAGGCAACAACAAAGACATGATTAATAAAATCAAAAGCTTTTTATTTGAAAACACCATGAAAATAGACAAACCTGTGGTAGGTTGGATCAAGCTAAAATGAAAGAGAACATAAACAAGAATGAGAAATTAATGTCAAATTCAGAAGAGATTCGATAATAAGACATACGACTTGTAAGTACCAATTCATTTGAACATCTATGTGAAATAAATGGTTTTCTAAGGAAAGTTGTTCAAGTTCACTAGAGAAGAGTGAAAATCTGAATAAAACAATAACTAAGTAAAGGTAGTTAAAGAACCTCCTCTTATAAAAGCATAAGATCAAGATGATTTTACTGGCAGATTCTACTTTTAAGGAATGTATAATCCTTATTTTACATACGCTATTCCAAAGCATGGAAAAAGTAACTTTATGAGGTTAGCATATTCCTTATGTCAAAACAGAAAGGACAGTACACACAAAAATAATTACAGACCACCATCACTTATGTAGACAGATGGGAAAATCATAAAATAAAAAATAAGCAGAGTCTAATTTGGCATTAAAAGAATAAATTACCAGGACTACAGAGTGATAATTCTAAGGAACAGGGACAACAGGAAAATCTACAGGTGCAGTTTATTACATTAACAGGTGTCCTTCTTTAATAAAAACTGCTCATCAGGGTTACCAGTGATCGCTATTTTATAAATCTAAGGTCAGTCTCAGTCCTCACTTTGTGGACTTGTGGAAGTTCCCACATCACACTGTTGCCCCCATGGCAGCCTCAGCTCTATCCCAGTTCCCGTTAATCAGACTGCAGTTTCTGCTTGAGCTGTGGACACCGTGGGTGAGTCAGACTTGGGAACGTGCTTAGGTGAAACGCTACATAAACCAGAGTTTTACCCCGTACAGTTCCTGTCTTCTAAGAGCTGACTCTTCTCCAATTTCTGCCTGCTTTTTGTCAATCTTTAGTGTCTTAAGTAATTGCTTTTTATATTTTCCCCAGAGTTTATAATTGCTATCTTTGGGAAGGTTACTTTGTATAAGCTGTTCTATTATATCTCAAATTTATTTAAGAACAGATTTTCTCTAGTGGGCATATGTTTAACTTCTGGAGTCGCAAGCAAACTCACATGAAATTGTGAAGTAAATTCCTCCAGCTGTCCAAATAGTCAGCGTGTCTGTTTTGTACAATCCTTTCCAGTGTGCGCTCGCTTGCTGATAATTGCTATTTATGCCTGCATTTCCTGTCTCTAATGGCATTCGATTTGGAGGACAATTAAATTCATTTGTGGTTACAGTAGTTAACATAAAGTGTGATAAAAATGAGAAAGCTTATTAGAGATGTTATCTGTTGTGGCAATAGCTCATCACATCTTGAAAAGTGGCGTCTTTATATTATTACAACAAACATATAGGTACATATATGGTGTTTTAAGTAAAATTTTGCATATCAAAATTTCTTATTTTTTAAGGTTTTTTTGTGAAGGTGGCAATGTTTAGCTCAGGAGAGCTGATTTATAAGAAGAAGACACGCTTACTGAAGGCCTCCAATGGAAGAGTAAAGTGGGGAGAGACTATGATTTTTCCACTTGTACAGAATGAAACAGAAATTGTTTTTCTCATTAAGCTGTACAGTCGAAGTTCTGTGAGAAGACGGCACTTTGTGGGGCAGGTCAGTGGGAGTTCTTATCTTGAATTCTTCCCTTGCCCTTTTCTGTACATTCAAATGGTTGGTGAACAAAAGAAATAGAATACAGTTAAGTTTTATAGCGCACAATTCTTCAGAATCGTAAGTTAAAATTCATTGTTGCCACAAAAATGAAGTCCTGTCAGACTTTTGCATTAATACAAATAGTTGGAATTTATGAGCGATCAGGGGTATCTTAAAATAAGACTTTTTTTTCCCAAATGAACTTTACATTTTTAATGGGGGAAAAATCAGTCTTTTTCTGAGCTTTTCAACTTTGAAAAGTATGAGAAGAGTCATTTTTTTTTCAGTACTACTGACTCATTCCTTATGAAGAGGGAACATTAAGTATTTAAATTAAATTTATTTTGTTTTCCCAAAATATATTTTTATTGATTTTAGAGAGAGGGAGGGATGGAGAGAAACATCAGTTGGCTGCCTCTTGCATGCCCCCTACTAGGGACCAAGCCTGCAATCTGGGCATGTGCCCTGACCAGGAATCAAACCAGTGACTTTTGGTGCACGGACGATGCTCAACCATTTGACTCACACCAGCCAGGACTAAATTAAATTTCTTAAGACTTCAGATATCCAACTTTATTCTGTCTCATTTTAATGTTCAATTTAATGTTTAACTCTGCTATTAACTGAATTATGTTAGATTTGAACAGGTAGAAAACATCAATTTTAATAGTGGTTATGATATTTAGATAGTCAATATGAGTGTCCAGATTAATCTATTTAAAATTTCTTAGTAATTTGTATAAGACAACATAATACTTGCTTACTTGCCAGTTCTGTAGGAACTTGTTTTCTTTTGTCCATTCGTTCTTTACTCTGAGTGGATTAGTGGGAGCTGTCTGTTGCATTTCATTATAATTGTTCAACTCACATTTAAATTTCTAAGTTTATATTAGTTTAAAAGCTTCTACTTGACAAGATGTGATTAGCAGTCAATATGAAATCCTCAAATTATATGTGAGTTTCCAAAGATTGCTATTAACTGTTTGATTTTATTTAATATATTTTACAAACATATCTTATATATTTGTGAAAAATATAGTTTTGTTCTTCATTGTACCTTATTCAGAAAGTTTAAACTGAACAATTCAAATAACTAGCATACTTTTCAAAGCCACAAGGCCCATGAAGTGAATTCAGTTAAAGTTTTCCTGTGTCATTAAGCCTCAGCTATCATGTGTGAATGGAATAGGTGATTTCCTTGACAGGTGATTTTCAAGATAACTTTTTTGGTAATTCTACTTTCTTGGTTGAGACTCTAGTGAAGAAGAAGAATTCTGGGAAGGTTCTCGCTGGTCCTCTGTTCCCTACAGCTTCTCTGGTAGCTTTGGGAGCCACCGGGATGGAGTAGCCACGTGGGATCAAGATCACCCATTCCTGTACCAGCCAGAGCACTCTCATGTTATCTGTTTCTATGTCGGGTTGTTTGTAAGATTTTCTGTGAAGGGAAGTTTCTTCAGACCATGAAATTATGGGGGAAAGTTTAAAAGACCATTGAGAGCCCTACTCTAATTTCCTTATTTAATAGAATTAGAGCCCTGGCCAGTTTTGCTCGGTGGTTAGAAGTATTGACCCCTGGACCAAAGAGTCGTGGGTTCGATTCCGGTCAAGGGCATGTACCTTGGTTGTAGTTTGGTCCCTGGCCCTGGTTGCGGTTGTGCGAGAGGCGGCCAATCGATGTGTCTCTTTCACATTGATGTTTCTCTCCTCCCTCCCCACTCTATTAGAAGATAAATGGAAAAATATCCTTGAATGAGGATTTAAAAAAAAAAAGAATTAGAAACTGAGTCTCAGAGAAGCATCTGTTAGTGCTAGAGCTGAGGTGAGCATTCAGGTTCTTTGATTCCTTGTCCACCTTACCTCTATGATATGTGAGCACCCACTGTGCTGTCTTACCTTTGCATAACACTTCCGTTTTCCCAAGTTCATTTGCATCTATTATCTAAAGTTACATAAGTGATGAGTACTTTTTACTGTGGATTGCTATGAAATTATTTACTGTGGATTTAAAATGACTACTTATAAATTTGCTATTAAAATTACAGTTTTATATAATGTACCAGGTACTTAAAAATGCACATTCCTTACAATCTAATTTAAATCAAGATTAGCTTGAGTTAATCTCTACAAAAAGTTTTTTGAGTGATTGGGATCAGTTTTAAGTTGAGCTCCTAGATTTATTGACTGAGAAAGAATACTAATTATTTTGGGAAACATGATTATATATCTCACATTGAATTTTTAAATTGAATTGGATCATACAGAACAGTCCTCAGAGTGACTAAATAGGTTAAATATTTTCACATTTAAGTTTCAAATAGAGAAATCAAAGTATTGGAAAAGTGGAAAGATGTGTAGTTGAAAATATGAAAACAGCCCTGGCCGGTTTGGCTCAGTGGTTAGAGCGTCAGCCTGCGGTCCGGAGAGACCCGGGTTCGGTTCCCGCTAAGGGCACGTACCTTGGTTGCAGTTTGTCCCCAGCCCTGGTTGGGTCGTGTGGGTGGCAACCACTCGATGTGTCGCTTTCACGTCGATGTTTCTCTCTCTCTCTCTCCCTCTCACTATATCTGAACAAAATATTGAAAAATGTCCTCGGGTGGGGATAAAAAAAAAAAAAAAGAAAATATGTAAACCAAATTTCCAGTTGTCTTTCATCAATAAGAGTCATTAACTGAACTCGCCATCACTGTGTTAAGTTAAATGGTTGTTCTCTTCCTTTACAGATTTGGATAAGTGAAGAAAGTAATAACGTTGAAGCAGCAAACCAGTGGAAAGAGACGATTACAAATCCAGAAAAGGTTGTTATCCAGTGGCACAAATTAAATCCATCTTGAAGACCTCATGCATTATTTGGTGAAGAATTTGACTTTTCTTAAGAAGACTTAAGATTTAAATTTGCTACCAATGAGAAGAGACAAATCAATATATTTCTCAAGTCTTTTATGGAGGTCATAATTATAATATATACTGGATCTGTTAGAAAATTAAACCTGATAAAAAATGGTATGAATTATATCAGACATCCAGAGTAAAAGAAATGTTTAAAAACTGTGCCAAAATAGACAATAAAATGAAAGGGTTGTATTACTAGGGCAACTAAATAAATTATAAAACCAGTAAGAATATCAGCCATAGGTAGTTACTGCCATTTTATGTTTATAGGTGTGTTTTTTGAAGCTTTACCTAGGTATTTAAAATCTAGTATATCAAGTCTCTGTTAGTCCTATGAGACATTTGGAAGACTTTACTACTGACTATTCCAGTGCTAATCATTGTTGATAATATCTTGGCTTCACTGTTTATTTCTTGCTACCTATTTTCTCTCAGAAAACAAAAATGAATTGCACTAGTTCAATTTCTGGGGCAAGTTGTTGTGCCCTGTGTTTATCATTTCTTACCCATAAGGTATCACATTACCAGTTTATCTCCAAGAAACTTCATATATAGAAAACTACAGTTTGGTAAGAATAATGAAGACACCAGAGGTTGAAGTTTAATTGGAAACCCAGTGTACACACATCTTCCTATGTTTTTCTCCCTCCCTTAAATATTTTACTCTTTGTTTTGTTTGGAGTTGAAATAAGATTATTACCCATATGCCCCATCCTAATTAGAATTAAATGGTCTCAAATAGAAAATTCAGTATTTTATATTCACAACCTTGTTTTTAGTTTTTTAAATATAAATTACTTGTTCTATAATTCAAGATGTTGAAGTATTTTCCTATTTTTTTAAAAATAACCATGTTGCAAATGAATATTTTCTTTTTCTTTTTTAATCCTCACCCTAGGATATTTTTCTGTTTATCATCAGACAGAGTGGGAGGGAGAGAGAGAAAGGAGGGGAGAGAGAGAGAGAAACATCGATGTGATAGAGACACATCAACTGGTTGTCTCCTGTGCAACCCGACCAGGGCCGGGGATGAACTGCAACCGAGGCACGTGCCCTTGACCGGAATCAAACCTGCGACTCTTTGGTCTGCAGGCCGACACTCTAACCGCTTAGCCAACTAGCCAGGGCACAAATGAATATTTTCTGTTGTAGTTTCTCAGATTCTCTCTTAGAACTCAGTGTGTGGATAATTTCAGTTTAGTTGGCCAAAAACAATAGCTATTAGGAGAAACAAATAAGGCCATCCTTGGTCTTGGAAAATGTGACTTTATTTTTGCTAATGAGTGCTCTGTGTTCATGGTCTTCCATTTTTCTTTCTCTCTTATCTCTTCCCACACATGCCAAGAAATAGATGTTGGTATTGTTGGCCAGAAGTATACTTGGCTGTAGCTTATGCATGCCCTCTTCATCCAGTTCTTATGTTCTATGTATCTTATTAAGATTTTCCCATGGACTTAATTCCCCATATTCTACATATTACCTCCCTCAAACTATAAAATGTACATACTTTACATGCCCTTTGCTCCTACTGCCTAGAGTTTATGGTACACCAGTGGTGTTGAAAAGACTATGCATTTTGAAATATTTTTTGGTAGATTTGTGAAAAATGACATATTGATCAGTACTCACGTGGACTTTTTAAGATAAATCACCCTGTGTGGTAGTCTTTTGAATCTTTGAGACAAATGGCAACTATTTAAAACAATTTTTATATAACTTTTTTTTTTTTAATCCTCACCCGAGGACATGTTTTTAAATTGATTTTAGAGAGGAAGGGAGCACAAAAGTGAGAGAGAAACATTGATTCGATAGAGACATCAATTGGTTGCCTCCCATATGCACTGACTGGGGATCAAACATGCAACCCAGATATGTGCCCTGGCTGGGAATCAAACCCACGACCCTTTGGTGCACAGGACGACTCTCCAACCAACTGAGCCATACCAGCCAAGGAAAAAACATTTTTAAAAAAATAGACTTTATTTTTTAAAAGCAGGTTTAGGTTCACACCAAAATTGAGAGTACAGAGAATTCCCTTATAATTCCTGCTCCCACATATGCACAGCTTCCCCCACCACCAGCATCTCGCACCAGAGTGGTACATTCGTTAAAATCTGTGAACCTACACTGACACATCATTATCACCCGAAGTCCATAGTTTACATTAGGGTTCACTCTTGTTGTACGTTCTGTGAGTTTTGACAAATGCATGATGACATGTACCACTGTAGTATCACATAGAGTAGTTTCACTACCCTAAACATCCTCTGCAAATGCAACTATTTTAATAGCCCCAAGGAAAGAAATGTGTTGACTTTTAGACAATAAACAACAAACTATATTGTTTTAAGAAATCTAGCATTTTATTTGAGTGGCTTTTTGTATGTGTTCTAGTATTGCTTTCAATTCCTAAATTTATTATATGTAGTTATGTATTTAACTTAATTTTTAACTATTTTATTTTCAATATTTTTACAATATGTGTATAATGTATAATTTTGGGGAAAGCTATGATTTCTTGGTTTCTTGCATGTCTTGGAATCCCAGGTAAATAAAACAATAAAAAGAAAACCTTTTAATTTAAGAGTCTTTTCAGTTAGAGAAGTATCAGCACAACTAAGATCGCAAATATTTTTTAACTCATCTTTGTTGAATGTATGACAGATGTCCCCCCTTTTTTCCCCATTGACCCCCTCCTCCCCAATCCTGTCCCCCTCCTGCCTTCCCCACACTATTGCCGGTGTCCATTGGTTATGCATATATGCATAGAAGTTCTTTGGTTTATCTCATCCCGCCCTCCCTCCTCCCTTCCCTTTGAGGTTCATCAGTCTAACAACCAATTTGTACTTCTTAATTCCTTCATCTTTTTCACCCAGCCCCCCAGCCCCCACCCATCTGGCAAGCAACAAAAAGTTCTCTGTATGTATGAGTCTGTTTCTGTTCTGCTTGCTCATTTTGTTTGTAGATTCAGTTGTTGATAGATATGTATTAATTGTCATTTTATTCATATATTTGTTCTTCTCCTTCAAGAATACCCCTTCAACATTTCATATAATACTGGTTTGATGGTGATGAACTCCTTTAGCTTTTTCTTGTCTGGGAAACTCTTGATATGTCCATCAATTCTAAATGATAGCTTTGCAGGATAGAGTAATCGTTGTAGGTCATTGCTTTTCATCATTTTGAATATCTCTTGCCACTCCTTTCTGGCCTGCAAAGTTTCTTTTGAAAAATCAGCTGACAGTCTTATGGGAGCTCCTTTGAAGGTAATGAACTGCTTTTCTCTTGCTGCTTTTAAGATTCTGTCTTTGTCTTGAATCTTTGGCATTTTGTTGATGATGTGTCTTGGCGTGGACCTCTGTGGGTTCATCTTGTTTGGGGCTCTCTGTGCTTCCTGGACTTGTACGTCTGTTTCCTTCACCAAGTTAAGGAAGTTTTCTGTCATTATTGTTTCAAATAGGTTTTCAATTTCTTGCTCTCTGTCTTCTTCTGGCACCCTTATGATGTATATGTTGGCACGCTTGAAGTTGTCCCAGAGGCTCCTTACACTATCCTCATTTTTTTTGGATTCTTTTTGTTCTGATTGGGTGTTTTTTGCTTCCTTATATTCCAAATCAATGGTTTGCTTCTTGGTTTTACCTACTTTACTGCTGATTCCCTATAAATTATTTATTTTAGTTAGTGCCTCCTTCATTTCTAACTGGACTTTTTTTATGTTGTCGATGTTCTCACTAAGTTCCTTAGAGGTCTCCTTAAGTTCCTTGAAGGTCTCACTAAGTTCCTTGAATGTCTCACCAAGTTCCTTGAGCAACCTTATAACCAGTGTTTTGAACTCTGAGTCTGATTGATAGCTTATCTCCATTTTGTTTAGTTCTTTTTCTGGAGTTTTATTCTTTTCTTTCATTTGGGACATGTTTCTTTGTCTCCTTATTTTTTCTGCTTCCCTGTAATTGTTTCTATGTATTAGGTAGAGTTGCTATGTCTCCTAGGTTTCAAAGGGTAGCTTATTGTTGTAGGTGTCTTGTAGGATCCAGTGGCACAGTTTCCCTGATCATCCCAACTGGGCCCTCAAGGTGCACCCCTAATGTGGACTGTACACCCCTCTGTTGTAATTGAGCCTTGATTGCTATTGGCATGTCAAAGGGAAGGATTTACTCAGGCTGATCAGCTGCAAGGACACTGACCTCTGACTACCTTGGAGGATCAGCTGTGCAGGGGCCCAACACCCAGAGCAAGACTTACTTCAGCAGGGCTCTGGTACCCACTGAGTCCACTCATTGAGTGTGTCACTTGTGAAGGTAGTTGGGTGGTGGTGTTTCGATGTGGTCTGAAGCTGTCCACTGGGTGTGCTGGCTGTGGGGCAAAGTCAGCCACTGCCTATGTTCTATCCAGGGCCACCTGGCATAAGCTACAAAGTGATCTGCAGAGGACTGCTTCTTGTGCTGGGCCTGGAGGTGCCCAGGAAAAGCCAAGTTGTGAACCAAGTCTGGCTGATTCTATTGCCAGGCTTGGGGCCACTTTACAAGAGTTATGGGGCTCGCTGAGACCAGATGCAGTTTGTTTGAGAGAGCTTAGGAAACCCTGAAGCAGGATCCAAGACAGGCCAATCCTATGGTAAAGCCTTTGGCAACAGCTTGGGTGGGCCTGAAAGTTGGGTGGGGCGGGGCCTCAGGGAATCACCAGGGCGGGGCAAACAGTGTGAGCCAGGTTGCTGGGGTCCCAGATATGGCGACTGCCTGCCGCCCCAGGGAAGGGCTCACCAAAGGACCATCAGCCTCCACCAGTATGTCTGTCCAGGAGAAAGCCTCCTCTCCAGCCCTTGTCCTGAGGCCACAGAGCTCAATTCTTCCCTGTATGTCTCTGGTGCCCCTCAAGCTGCCTCTTCTCTGAGGGAATGAGTCCGAGTAAGTCCGTGCGCGGGCCCTTCAAGGAGCTGCCTGGGACTCCAGCTGCCTCAGACTCCCTGAGCCTCAGTTCCCACTGGTTTTTCCAGCCAGAAGTGATGGGGATTCTCTTCCTGGCACTGGAACTCTGAGCTGGGAGCCTGGTGTGGGACAGGGACCCCTCCGTCCTCAGGAAGGACCTTCCCAGCCGAGGTGTCCTCCTGATTTTTATCCGCCCCATGTGGGTGTGGGACCAGCCCGTCCCCTCCGCCCTCCTACCATAGTTGTAGGACTGCCATTCAGCTCGATGTCAGGAGGTTCTGACATGGTTGTTCTGTAGTTTAGTTGTAACTTTGATGTGGTTGTGGGAGGACGGATACCGCGTTTACGTACTCGCTGTCTTGACCAGAAGTGGGTTCTTTTTCTGAAATGGTTTAATTAGTGTTTACTTAAACCTTTTTCAGGTGAAGAGGTACTGAATAGAGAGATTCTGGTTGTTTCTTTGAAGCATTAAATGGAAATACACAAAGAAACACACTTTTCTGTTAATAGTCACTCATATAATGAGAAAAACATTAGAACCTGGAAACGAAAAATAAGATACTATAGAAAAATCTCTTTTCTTTATATTTGCTTTGGCATTTCTTTACCTTTGCTCACTTATAATGAGGAGAGGGAACCGAAATGATGCTGAGTGACAGGGGAAGCCAAGGGAAGGTTCACCTTGCTAGCCGACAGTGTGCACAGTGCTGTTCCCTAACAGTGTGTTCACTTACACACTTTCAGATGAACGCAATTAAATATCTGCAGCCCATGTGGAAACATAACATCACTATTTGGCTTTCATTTGGTTTTG